ACCACACCACTGTCTAAGTCTTCTTTAATTTCCATCAACCTTGTTTAGTAGCTTCCCATCCACCTGCATCACAATTTTTATTCATTTTGACCCTACTGGAAATTGAATTATTATTTTAATTTCATTTCTGGATTGGGGAAGCTTTAGAGACAATGATCAGAGTGGGGAGAAACAGAGACAAGCAACTAACACCTACAGAAAGACAAGGCTGAACACAGGAAAAAGTAGAAACAACAGATTTTAAGAAAGCTGGAGGAGGAGAGAAAAAGGAAGGGAGAGAGTGGGACTGGACTTCAAGCAAAAGCTCACAGATATTAGAAATGAAGTGGAGTTTCACTTGAATTTGAAATCAGCATCCAGGTTCCTGAGGTGCAACGAGAATATCCAAGGATAGATAACAGCACGGGGACAAAGAAAACATGAGCAGGCGCTAAAGGAGCCCACGGCGACTCTCTGGGCCAGAGAGTGCTGTGTTTTCACAGCTTCCTTCAGAGAGGCACGGGCGTACTCACTGAGAAGAGAGCCCAGCAGAGAGCCTTCAGGACGCTTGTGCCTGTCTTCTGAATGAGCCAGTTTCCTTGTACTCTTGGGGGTCAGACACGCCCAACGAAGAGTGTCCTCATGGAGAGCTAAACCCAGGGTCCCTGGGCTGCAGGACCCGTGCCAAGGTCTCTACCTGCAGACACCGTGGCACCCACACAGTCACCCAGGGACACCGCTCCTGCATGCTCCGATGAAAGATGCCGTATTTCTAGGCATGTTCTAATGTCACCTGAAGTGTTGTGTGAGAGACCTGGCTGGTATATGCTGTGCTCTGGGTGTATCCCTTGGAATGCATGTATGAGAAACACAGTCACCAAAGTCCCAAGTGAAGGCCTGGAGAGATGGCTCAGTAGAATAAGCACTTCCCTGGCAAGCACAAGGGCCTGAGTTCAATCCCCGGTTCCACAAAAACCCCCCACAAAGTCCCAAGTTAAGATTATCTGGCAGTGACCCTCTGGTAGTTGAGGTTAAATGGAGACAAAGCCCTGATGCAGTGGGGCTGTAGCTTTGTAAAGAGGAGGACAGACGGAGCTAGGATGCTCGGCCTCACGTGAGCTGCTTGTGCCCCTTCGGGACTCTGCAGAGGACCCCCACTCGCAAGAAGAACTTCACCGCAAAATGCCTGACCTTGAAGTTGCCAGCCTTCAGAAGCCCGAGCTGAGCGAACCTTCACTCCCTATAAATCCTCAGTCTGTAATATCCACTTAGGGCAGAAAACAGACTGAGGCAGGGCGTGGCCTCCTCTTCCGCAGGTGTAATGGCTTGAACAAGGGTGGGGGGGGGGAGGACACTGAAGATCACTTGAGCCCTCCTCATCCCATGTAGGGGCAGGTGAGAGGGACATTCAAAACGCAGGGCAAAACGCGAATGACTAACATTGTAAAATCTTCATCACATGCTTACTGACAGGTTCGGGCCCAAGTATGAATTGCTAAAGTCATTATTGTTATGGGTCACTCAGGATAGGAACCAGATCAACCAGACTGGAATTTGGAAAGCCATTTATTACTGAGCTCTGGGCCCGTTCTGCTGACCGAAAGGTGGCAGCCCAGGAAGCAGGGAGGGGTTTTAAAACCTGGAACCACATTAAGTTTGATAAGCAAATTCATTGACCACATTCAATTTGGTAAACAAATTCATTGTCTGACACAAAATAATGCTTTCAGAGTGATTGGGACCAAGACTCAAACTACATTTCCAGGGCTTTTGTTTTAGTTTCTGGTTAATTTGCACCTGAGGACCTGCAGGCAGCCTTGCATAGCCCGAGGTTACAAGAAGTTAAAGCCCATCTACTTGCCTTTAACTCATCTCTGTAAGCTAACTTTGCCGACAGGAATTGGTGAGGGTTACAGGAATTTTACCTAGCAAACAGCAAGAAACAACCACTAGTTACTAAACAACTTAGAACAGTGGTAAGTATACATTTTTACACAACAGAAAACACAAGATTTACATTTATAATCTAAAATGTGAGTTGATCCATTACAATTATGGTGGTCATCTAATATGGCAAATGCCCTTAAAACAAAAGCCCACCTTCCCAAGACCACCTCCCCGCTCTCCTCCAACTCGCCCCAGGACATCATTTCCTTCCACCCTTCCCGCCACCCCAGGGAAGACCCCAGTCAGCTCCTCAGGTATCTCTAGACATCCCCTTCAGCCCCCCACCCCTGACAAAAGGCCACAGAAGCCTCAGCCTCCCTTTGTCTAGTTCCGAGAATTCCTAGACCTCCCCAAATCCTCTCCATGCCCTCAAAGAAAATAGAGCCCCTTTCCCTTTTTGCTTCTGCCTGTCTCTTGGCTGTGCCATTCATCTGAAAGCACCAATCACTTCCCTGTGGCAGACAATTACAAAATCAATACGTGCTTATTGGGTACCACGTGCTTACCAGGTCCTTTATGAAGCTGTGACTCCCAGTCACTGTACTGACCTTGTCCCTTTCCTAGAAACAAAGGATGAGAGCCCGACTGGCCTGGCCCGCGCCACGCGTGCCGAGGCTGCTCCTGCAAGTGCGGCCGCACCTCATACTCCAGGCATCCGGGCCGCAGTCCCAGCTCGCCGCACCACCGCGCTGCTAAGACGGCGCTCCGGCTTTCTCTGCATTTGCCGCCCTGTAAATAAACCTGTGCTTGGCGCCACACCAGTCTTGACTCCTCCATTTCACTGTGAGCCCCGGTTCCCCGTTCTTCCGGAGAGAAAGCAAGGACCCAAAGAGAGGTGGAGGGTCATTCCAGGGGACTCCTGGGCCCCCTCCTCAGAGATCCCCACCCTTGCTGGACACAACAAAGACAAAACCTCTCTCTGGTGATTATTTAAAATGCTTTCAAAAGCAAACAGAATTTCTGTCATCTTGGCAATTTCTCAAGGTACGGTTTTCCAAGTCTTTTTAAAGTAGAAACTTATGAAACTTGGACATTTAAATGAGGGGCAGAGTAGAACTTTTTGTCTTGGTTACTTTTCTCTTGTTGCTGGGACAAAATACCTGACTCCCAGAATTAAGGGAGAAAAAGGTTTATTTAGCTCACGGTTTGTACAGGTTTGAGTTCATAAACAGCTGGCTCCAAGGCAGGGTGGCACATCACAGAAGGCAGCAGAAGACAGCAAAAGCAACAAGAGAAAAAAGGAAGGGGAGGGGAGAGGGGAGGGTGCAGGGAAGAGGGAGTGCCTCTCTCCCTCCCTTATAATGTATGTAGGCTCCCTGCCCCAGGGTAGGTGTAGCACTCCTACCCATAATCTCCATAATTGCAGCACTGGGCCACAAATCAAGCCCACCAAGACTATGTGAGGGTTTTGGGGGGACATCTAGACACAAACCATAACAGTTATAAAAGCTCTATGCTGGGTCAGGGAGATAGCTCAGTAGAATAAGCGCTTGCCTGGCAAGCGCAAGGTCCTGAGTTCAATCCCTGGTACTGCAAAATAAATAATTAAAAAATAATAATAATAAAGTCATGTCTGTAATCTAACTTTGTTTCTAAGAAGAATATATGCAGTGTAATATTTGTTGAAACTGTACTTCCGATTTGATTTGAAACTGTCTCACTGCTGTTTATCAATAAAACTTTGAAAAAAAATTTAAAAAAAAAGCTCTATGCTTTTGATTTTGAGGAAATGGATCATCCCCCAAGACACACACACACACACACACACACACACACACACACGGTTCTAGTTTCAATTTAAGTATCACATCTTTAGGTTGATTGGACCTTCCTGACCATCATGTTTGTGTTGAGAAGTTTATTCTGAAACAACTTGAGGGGCTGGGGAGATGGCTCAGTGGAATAAGCGCTTCCCTGGCAAGAGCAAGGGTCTGAGTTCGATCCCCGGTTTTGCCAAAAATAAATTAAATAAATAAATGAAACAACTTGGTCCAAGATGCTTAGCCCTGAAATGCTAGGAAACCAAGAAAGCCAGGCAGGCAGGTCCAGGTAGATTCCTGCAAGCTGGGTAAAAACAGGGGAATGCATATATGGCTTAGGATAAAAGCGACTTAATCCTGGCTGGAATGTACCTGGCTTACCTTAGCACGGAAGAGTCAGACACAGTCCCAGTTTCAGGGTTCAGTTGTAAAGCTCTACACACCACTCCAGTGGTTCCCTGTATTTGTGGTTTGCTGGAAAAGTGCAGGAAAAATAAGACCAGGGTTATTCCAGTACAAGCCAAGCTGTCATAATTCAAGATGGCCACGGTCATGTCAAGGTGAATCCATACAGCAGTCTCCCTAACTCTGCTATTTTACATTACTTCGTGGTTAATTTCCTCTACTGCAGTTATTATACTTTGTAATTACTTTAATTGCTATCCCTACTGCGAGGGTAGGATCAGGTTTACTTATTACGGGCCAAGCATAAGGCCTGCCCTGTACCAGGCAGTTAAGAAACCTACGGATGAATGAATGAGGGCCAAGGAAGGAGAAGCAGGCTGTGGAACAAGACCTTTAGAAGGGCCTGGCTTGCGGCAGCCACAGCAGGCAGCAGGGCTGGAGTTCTGGACAGCTCCAAGACCCTGTCAAGAGTTTGGCAGGTCAAGCTAGGCTGCCTCGCCCCATAATTATCCTGAGCACTTGGGCATGCAAATGCAGAGTCCTGCCGCCTCCAACGCACACCAGATCAGAACCTCTGGGATTCTGAGGGTCACAGCCCAGGAATCTGCGTGGGCGACACGTCCTCGGGCTACTCGGAAGCACCCGGAGGCCCAAGACACTTCAGATTAAATAACAGAGGCGCGTGCAGTGTGGCGGAGAAGGGCCAAAAAAGTTACTCCAGCCGGCTAGGGGTAAAGATACAAACCAAGGACGCTGCTGGACGGGAGCTCAGGGACCGGCCGCCAGCATCCAGCCCCGGGACCTTTGGCCGCACTTGGCCTCCGGCCGCGCGGGCCCCGCCCCGCCCTCCGATTGGCTGCCGCCCCACCCAGCCTCCGCTCTCGGCCAATGGGAGCTGCACGCGCCGGAAGCCGGAACCGGAAGCGCGGCAGGGGCTCTGCGACCGGCTTTTTCCCTGGGCTGCTGTCGCCGGCGTCATGCGAGGCTTCGGGCCAGGCCTGACCGCGCGGAATCTGCTCCCGTTGCGGTTTGCCCCGTGGCAACCGCGGCCGCCAGGACCACTGCTGTCGAGCAGGCCGGCGGCGGCGGCGGCGGGAGCGGGCTCCCTGACGCGGGCCATGGACGAACTGCTTCGCCGCGCGGTGCCGCCGACGCCGGCCTACGAACTGCGCGAGAAGACGCCGGCGCCCGCCGAGGGCCAGTGCGCCGACTTCGTGAGCTTCTACGGCGGCCTGACCGAGGCGGCCCAGCGCGCCGAGCTGCTGGGCCGCCTGGCGCAGGGCTTCGGCGTGGACCACGGCCAGGTGGCGGAGCAGAGCGCCGGCGTGCTCCAGCTGCGGGAGCAGCCGCGGGAGGCGGCGGTGCTGCTGCAGGCCGAGGACCGGCTGCGCTACGCGCTGGTGCCGCGCTACCGCGGCCTCTTCCACCACATCAGCAAGCTGGACGGCGGCGTGCGCTTCCTGGTGCGGCTGCGGGCCGACCTGCTCGAGGCGCAGGCGCTCAAGCTGGCGGAGGGGCCGCACGTCCGGGTAAGGACGGCCACCCCACGCAGTGTCCACCCGCCCCCAGGCCGGCCGCGCCGCCCGCCCCGGCCCCTGCGTGACCGTTCCCTTCCCGGCTTCCCGGGCGCTCGCCCAGGCCCGAGCGCCCCTGCCGCCCTCCAGCATCACCTGGCAAGACCCGCGTGTACAGTGTTCACTCAGTAGCACCTGTAAGGTGGCAGTCGGCCTCTTAGCCTGCTCTGTGAAGTCTCTTTTTGTTATATTAACCGAAGTATACCTGTGCAGGTATGAGCAAAGGCAGTCTTTAAAAACCTGGCTGTCGTCAGCCTGTTAAGTGGGCAGCCACCGTGTGTAAAATGATGCCCTAGGAATTCCCGTGAAGTGCCCGCAGTGACTAAAATTTAATGTCACTCATTGCCTTCAGGCCTTTTTTCTGCTTCGAAAATTTGGACAAGTTATTTTAATTCCCTGAGCTCTGCCCTAAAGGTGGGGAGTTTGAGTCGCTGGCCTGAGCCAGGTGCTTAGCGCTGTGAATTCATGCTAGATACAGTCTTTTTTTTTTTTTGTGGCGGAAGCGGGGATTGAACTCAGGCCTTTGCGCTTGCCAGGCGAGCACTTTTCTACTGATCTATCTCCCCGACTCCCAGTTACAGTCTTTGAGGTCTAAATGACTGTGACCTAAAAAATGGCCTGGGATTACACGCAGCCCCTTTGTAATCATCTAAAATGTGGAAAGGACACTAACACGCCTTTGCAGTGAGCAGTGGCTGTGAGTGATTTGGAAGGTGTGTGACACTCAAAACAGCTGAATGATACATCTGGAATCATTTAAGAGTCCCAGAACTGGCCGTTAACAGTTTCTGCTTCTGTTCCCGCAGTGTCAGGGAGGTGATGCGTGTACCCGCTCACCCCAGAACACATGTGTTTCTGATCACCCTCCACGGTCCAGCGTCTGGGAGCTGACAGTATTTGGGTTTTCTCAAAATCATCTTTTTTAACTGTTTGGTCTCAGATGCATAAAAACAAGGTGTAGTTGCAAATCAGTGCTAACAGTGGCTATGACTTTATTTCTCCTGATCGCTTGCTAAATTTATAATGCTGAGCATGACCTAGGAGCACAGACCTTTGGCCCTAAGATTCCCAGACTGAGAAGGCCCAGCTTATTGGCTGCCACAGACTCAGTCACAGATTCTTACTGTGTTGACTGTTGCAAGTTCAGATGCAGTCTTGAGTGGTTGAACTTTTGTCCCACACTTTGCTTTTGTAAATCCATAAAAGCCAAACTAAGTGCCTGGCTCTATGAAAACTGGAACCTTGCCTTAAATTTCTTACATAGCAAAATGATAAGTGAATTTTTGAGACCAACTTCAAGTGTCCTGGTCTGAGGTAGACTTGGGCCCCTAATGAGTCACAGTTGTCTGGGTATCAGATTGCCTCATGTGCTGTCTCAGGGTTCTGAGCCCAGAGGAAAGCGAAGAAGGGCTAGAGAGGCTTCTGCACAGCAGAGAAGCCTCTTGGCTCTGGGTGGTTCCTGAGGTCCCATCTGCACCTGAGTCCTCCAGTTCGGTGTAGAACACATTCCTTTGCACTTCCCCACAGGAGAAAATTCCTGGTTATCACGTCATGCACAGGGAACATCTCAGTGACCCACTGCCCCAGCCCTGGAACTTGACCTTGAGCGGGGAACTTGCTTCTGGGAAGTCCAGGGAAGCGGGCGAGGCTAGGTCTTAGACACGGGCAGTTTCCTCGCTTTGTTCACCTGCACTGTGCTGTACCTTGCAGACATCAAGACAGAGGTCTCAGAAGAGAATAGAGAAATCTAACGCGTGTGGTACCTTGACCTTTGGCCCTCCACGTGCTCTGAACTCCCTAGCCACAGATTTCCTGGTGGCTGTCCTGTGCCCCTTGCGCTTCTCCACCTAGAAACCCTAGCCTCTGTCCAGCGCCTACAACTGTTAGTGAAAGTGGTTAATTCCTTTCTCCTTCACTTTACCTAGCTGCATAATTTTATTTTAAATCTCTTCATTTTTTTTTTTTCATTTAAATCATTCTGAAAATTGTGGGTTTTTTTTTCCCATCTCTAGAAATTATCTATTGGAATTTGATCTTGCAGCCTATCATTCAGAATCACTTCAGGGCAGTCTTTTGGTTTTAAAAAAAAAAAGCGATTTTAGTTTTTTAAATAGTTTTAGGTTCACAGCAAAACTGAACAGAAGAGTCAGATTTCCCGGCTGTCCCCACACTCTCACACACACAGCCTCCTCCATTATTGTGTGCTGACCCAGAATGCCAGTGCCCATCTGCAGCACTGTCACTTGGTGTCCATAGTGGACATGAAACTTTGCTCTTGGTGCTGGACATTCTGTAGGTTCAGTTTGCAGTCTGTTCTCATACTTTCACTTCAGGGTTTTGTGTCATGTTGAACAACTCAGCCCGAACATTTTCCTTTTAGGAATTCATGGTTAAAAACTTGCAGAAGTGTGGTACAGGAGGCTTTATCACCTAAGGGCTTTCAGAAGTGCTTAGTACTTGGGGTGGGGGTGGGGCATCACCTCGGGTCATCCCAGGTCTCAGCCTTCCTGATGGACAGCTGCAGTGCCTATTCTCACCCCAGCTGACCGTTGAACTTGCTAGATGAGGTCCAGCGAGGACATCTTGGTGACTGGAGTTCCTGTGGGCCTGGTGCGAAGCCCTTCCTCGCTCCACACGGGTCCCACGGGAGAGTATGGCCCAGGTGGAGCTGGTTCTGTGCTTATGGGCAGTGGGTCCCACGAAGGAGGCCCAGGGTGGGGAGTGAGCCGCGTCCTGCCATCTGTTAAGAGATGTGGTTTTAGGTGACTTAATCAAGTCACTGACCTCCCCTGGGCCCATTGGCTCTGCACTGAGAGAAGAGATTCAGCTGATAGTGAGCTCGAGGTCAGCCTGATTCTTTCCTAAGACATGCCCTGAGGGATTTATTGGAGCTGTGCTAAAAATATAGTAAACAAAGGCGCATAGTTTGTCGTGCTCTTGCTTACCAGGGATTGTGACTATGGAAAATAAAACAATCCGTAAAACACATAATTCCATTGCCTAGGCAGCTCAGCAGAAGCGCTTGAGGCAAGTGGCCAGGCTGGGGATTATCTCTTTCCTTGAATATTTTAAATCAGATAAGATGTCTTTTTGCTCCCTTAGGGATGCTTAATCCTTGGATACAAAGTTCAGAGTCAGGAGCACATCTCCTTGAAGATCCAAGTGCTACTTTGAAAGTTTTTACACTGTGGCAAAGATCAGATGTCTCAGTTGTGTTTTTCAGGATAGGCAGTAGGTGTAAAAGGAAAGAGTGACCCTTGCCTGGCTGTTTGCTTTGTTTTATTTTGTTCTGTTTTTGATGTTAGAGGCATTGGGCTTCTTGTGAATATCAAGTCTACTGTTGCAATGTAGATTTGTAGGACTCTTGAATTACGAGTAGGCCAACCTTCATGGAGTGTTCCAGCAAAGGAATTTTAGTTGTTTTAATAATTGAGGGATTTGTAGAAAAGGCACCTGATACTTCATCTGTGTGATAGAGAGCCCGGGATGCTAGCCTGTAGAAAAGGGAATAGTGAATGAGTTAGTCTGTGTTTTGGTTAGAAAATGTTTTTTTCTTGGTCGAAGTTCTGGTGGGTTTAGAGGTTTGTCGGTATGCTTGTTATTTCTGCAGAAACTAGTGGTTTTACTTGTTCTTTTGTGGGATGCCCCTGGGCCTCAGAGGGATGTGAGTTCAAATCCACAGTCTGTTGTGCTTTGTTTCATCTCCAGAATGCACTGAGGGGTGCACAGAGAGTAGGTGAAGCGGCGACAGCGAACGTCAGCCAAGTGTGGCTGCCACCAAGGGAAGGAAGTCTTCAGCCAGAGGAGAAATGCTGTTCGCAGCCGCCTCTGGACAGGGCCCGGGTGTGTCCAGGTGTGCCCGGTCTGTCTTCCTTTGAGGGTGCGTCTGCGGGTGTGTGGCAGGAGTGTGCTGCAGGGTGAGGCTTATAGAATTTTGGGTTTTCTTCGTACATATTTCCACTTGGTTGATGGCTTACATTTCTTCGGGATAAAATCTCATTGAGACAGAACTGAATCTCCAGGGTAGTTGAAGGCCGGGGTGCTGCTCATCCTTGGTGGGTGCCTAGTGGCAGCTGGCACTGAGAGCACAGAGAGCACTCTTGACAGGCAGCTGAAACACAGGAATCGTGGCTGAGCGGGGGTGCTCCAGCCTGAACGGAAGCATGGGAACAGGAGAAGGGAGTAAGCCCCGTCAGCCACAGTCCTGCAGTCAGTATGGTGTCCCTGTATGTTTTTGTAAAATCTGTGTTTGGCTGTGTTAAATAAGAGTTTGTTTTTAGGGTCTGGGGAGATAGCTCAATAGAATAAGCACCTGCTTGGCAATCACAGAGTCCTGAGTTCAATCTCCAGTAGTACACCAAAAAAAAAAAAGTTTGTTTTTATTTATTTTTTATTTTTAGGGAAGGGTCTATAGGGTATTCAGGGTGTCAGTACTAGATCGGACTCATAGTGATCCGCCTGCTTACAGCCTCCCGAGAGCTGGGATTGTAGGCATGAAAAGAGTTTGTTTTTAAACCAGAAAGCACGCCCCACTGTGTAAAGCGCACACGCAGGAGGTGTGAGCTTCTGAGTGCTTGCACCGCTGTGCTTAGCACTGGCTCCCTCCTCCCCTCCCGCTCAGGGGCTCCTGAGTACCAGTACATTCTCTTCTCACACCAAAGCTCAGCAGATCTTGAGAGCAAGAGCTTATTGGCTGTTCCTTTAAACAGTGTCATCCAGGGAAACTGCAATTAGCGATGCAGAACAAAGTGACAAGCCAGCTTCAGCATCACCTGAGTATTCCAGCGGTTGCACTTCCCAGCCTTACGTTACTGATCAGCAATTGCAGAATTAATGAGTGAAAAACAGAGACTTGGTTCTCACCCGCTGCTTGTGCTGCCATAATCTCGTATGCTGTGGTGAGTGCCCGCGGCCGGGACAGCTGTCACCAAGTGCTAGCACTGGCCAGTGGGCTTCTGACCCTTAGCCTAGATTCCTGCCTGTCGGGTCCAGATCACATGCCTTAGCTGTCAGCAGCCCAGAATAGAAGGAGGAGACTGTGAGAACTCTTCATCATCCTGTTTCTTCTGTAGTTCATACCAAACCAGGTGTTTCCAGCTTTTTCTTCTCGTGGATGTCGTAGGGCTCCAGAGCGCCTCTGCGCTAGAACCTGCTAGCCTGTCGCTGACCTCTTGGCGCAGAAGTTCTTCCCTGGGCCTCCTTGAGCACCAGGAAGTTATATGCAACACTTTATTCATGTATTGGCATTTGGGAGGAGGGGGCCTGTGATTTTTAGCACAAACTTGAGTGTGACATTCCCAGGATTAAGAACCATTGTGGTTGGGCCAGGGAGATAGCTCCACATCATAAGCACCTACCTAGAAAGCGCAAGGTCCCAAGTTCAATCCCTGGTACCACAAAAGAAAAAAGAACCACTGCAGTCAGTGCAGGGTGGTTTTTTAGAGCCATTCTCTGACCCATTTTGCATATTTACATCCAGTAATCTGAACAACTAATTTGAAGACAACAATATGCCATATAACACCTGTTGTTGAATTCCCGTCTTCTTGTTTTGTGAATTTCTGTATCGATTCTAATTCTTTTTCTAGCTTTTTCTTTTAAACTCCAAATAAATAAATGAGATGAAGCAGACCCACATGTGTAAACTAAATAGCCGTTCTGTGTCCCCTGGCACGTGACCCATGACCCCTGGCACCGCCTGGCCTGCTACTCCTGATTGCCATTCCTTCTTATTTTCCATCGAATATCAGCCCATTAATGAATGCTTTGGAAATGAGAAGTGAAGCAGAAATGGCCTTGGCCCTACAGAGCTCACAGCTGAGTGGAGGAGACTCGGGTGGGAATCTAGAGTGGAAGGGCCCGCAGGCTCATGCCACACAGCCTCTGTCTGGAGAAAGGCCTGTCTCGGCTCATACCGAGTTTGTGTCTGTCCTATGCATGTCACCCTGGAAAGCAGCACGCTTCACCACAATGTCTGTAGACAGCACCCGCCCCACGGCGCTCCTTCCTGGTGTTAAGTCCTTCAGTGTCTGTGACTTCCACAGTTGGTCCTCACTTTGTCCTCTTCTACCCTCACAAGGTAACAGAGAGTAAAGATGTGGCCTTCTGTGTGCCCCAGTGCTTAGGGATATAAAGATAGACCTCATGTTGTTCTGAAAACTGCTCCAAGCCAACAATCTGTACCTGCACCTTCTGCTCAGGTAACCAAGATCTGAAGTTTTTCATCTTGTAACAGAGATTAAAATGTAAATTGGTGGCCAGGCATGGTAGCGAATGCCTATAGTCCCAGCACTCGGGAGGCTGAAGCAGGAGGATCGCTGTGAGTTCAAGACCAGCCAGGTAGGGACTGGGGAGATGGCTCAGTGGAATAAGCGCTTCCCTGGCAAGCGCAAGGGCCTGAGTTCAATCCCTCGTTCTGCAAAGAAAAAAAAAAAAAAAAAAAGACCAGCCAGGGCGACATAGTGCCTGACAACCTGTTTCAAAAAGAGAAAAAAAAAAAAAAAAAAAAAAAAAACCTCAATTGGCACTATATAGTGCTTACACCTGTTATTAAGCTGATCACGTCTCATCCTTTATGAACCTTATACAAAGGTTCAGGAGGTCAGCTGAGAACCAGATGCACTCTTTGCCATCCTTTAATATTACTCCATGCAGGTGGTCCCATATAACTCACTGATGAGTAATAAGGAATCCAAAGTAAACAGTGGTTTAAAAAATATAGGTTGGTCTCAGGTCAAAAGCTAAGGGTAGGCGGCCCTGTAGTATGCTCAGTGACTCCGGCTCTGGTACTTCTCTGCCCCAAAACACTCTTCAAAGTCGCCTCATGGCCCCCAAGTCTGGTCTCCTGCAGGCCGCCACAGCGCACACCAGCTATGGTGGAGAAGATGGCGAAGGGCATACTTCTGCAGTCTTGCGAGGGTCCTCAGAGCTGCCATGGGACACCTCTGTTTACTCCTCATCAGCCAGCTCCTGGTCACGGGACCACCCCCAGCCAAAGTGCAGCCTCTATTCCAGACAGCCGCAGGCCTGGCGGTAAAACAAGGCTTCTGTGTACTCGGAAGGAAAGCAGCTGTCGGAGGCCGCCCGTCTGCTGTCCTCCCGTCTGCACTACGTGCTGGCAGTGGCTGGTGCTCAGCCACACGAGGCTGCCCTGAGCGTAGACTCTGCTCCGGCTCACGTGCCTTTTGTTTGACTTGCCTGAAAGACATCCGAGCAAATGGGTCTGTGATGGCAACTCGAGGGTTTTGGGAGGTAAAGCAAAGTTAGAATGATTTCATCAAATCTGAAGTACACTGTTTGCAAAATGCACTGTAATTTTATGTCCTCCTAGAGTGGCTTTAAAGTGCTGCTAATTAAGCTATGACTCGCCAACTTTACAAGACGTGCCCTGACTTCCGAAGTGCTCAGCTATGGAGACGTGGCATCTTCACATTGATCAGACAGTTCTTGGATGAGCCCTTGTTTCCCCTGGAAGCACCGTGTGGTGCTGTGCTGTGCCAGAGGGTGTTCGCGCGTGCGGAGAAGGCGTGCTGCAGCTGCACAGTCTGCACTGGTTCTTCCCATGGGGTGCATCTTTCCTTGTTTGTTTGTTTAGAGACAAGGTCTCAGTAGGTAGCCCGGGCTGGCCTAGGATTCATGGTAATCCTGCTGCCTCAGCCTTCCTGAGGGCCAGGATCACAGCTGTGCACCAGCACACCTAGCTGTCCTATTACGTGTTCACTTACATTAGGGCAGTGTGAACCTTCTCACTGAAGTGGTCCAGACTAAGCCAAGAGGGAGCCGAGCCCTGGCTTGATACGAGCTCCTTAGAGGACTGGGAGAGGCTGCCCGAGGGTCGTCGCGTCGTCTCGTGCCACACCACATGTTGTGACCTGCTGTGCTCATGGTGATGCAGAGATGGTTTGGGGTGCTTCCCTGGCAAGCGCGAGGGCCAGGGTTCAATCCCTGGTTCCACCAAAAAAAAAAAAAAAAGAGAGAGAGATGCTTTGGGGCTGATGGGCCTCCGAAGCTGACCCTGCATTATTTTTTCCTTTGTAGGAGATGAATGGGGTACTGAAGAACATGCTCTCAGAATGGTTTTCTTCGGGGTTCCTGAACCTAGAAAGAGTCACCTGGCATTCGCCATGTGAGGTGCTTCAGAAAGTCAGCGAGTAAGTATGAAGGTTTTCTGTCCTTTGTGCTGTAGCTGAAGGCCAATGTCCACCCTTGTGTATACTTTATCCTGACCCAACAGGCCCAAGCCCACTGTCCACCAATGCAGTGGGGCCCAGAGAACAATGCGCCTGGCTCGGTAATCTCGGGCCCACTGACAGCTCCCCCACGCCACATTATCACAGGTGTGGGAACTCGTTCAACCTGGCGTTCACCTTAGTAATCGAGAGCGTTTACTGCTGGGCACTCTGGCACACACCTGTAAGTCCAGTGCGCAGAAATGTGAGGCAGGAGGATCCCTGTGAGTTCAGAGCCTGCCTGGCCTGCACAGTGAGTTCAGGACCAGCCTGAACTACATAGTGAGACGCTGTTTCAAAAAGAAAGAGAAAAAGCCTTGACCTCACCTAGCTCTATGTCTGGTGAGAACCTCTAAGTGAGCCGTTTACCTGCAGCGTGTCTGGGACGTAGCGTCACGTGGGCCTGCGCATTGCAACATCCTGCCTCTGTTGCGTGCCGTCCGTCGTATCTGAGGCCTGGCAAGAGTCCTCTCTGGGCCGCTGGTGATGGTAGCGCTCACTGTCATCTCACCTGCAAAAACAGAGTTGGGGAGAGGGGTGAAGATGGGAGACGAGGGGCCCCAGAGGTGGCGTGCGCAGTGTAGGCAGCCATTTCAAGTGCGGATTCCAGGGAGAGACAGCAGCCATGCTGAGGCCTGCGGTTCTGCTTTGCCCTGAACCCAAGAGCCTCACGAACCATGAAGAATGGGAGCAGTTTTGTATGTGACGCGGTCTCAAATTACAGTGTCAGTGCTGCTTCTCATTAAAATGATTTTCTTTAGGTCCCCAAGAGTCACTTAGAGCTGTACTGAATGTGTGCATTTGGCCTTTGTGGACAGCATGCATAGAAATCAGCAGTTAGTTTCACAAGTAAGTGTGTTCCCTTTGCACGATTCCTTGTCAGATCTGAGGCCGTGCACCCTGTAAAGAACTGGATGGACATGAAACAACGTGTCGGGCCCTACAGGCGATGTTACTTCTTTTCTCACTGTTCAACGCCCGGAGAGCCCTTGGTCGTTTTGTATGTGGCACTCACCAGTGACATCTCCAACAACATCCAGGTACCTGGGCATGGGCACTTCGGGACAAGACAGGTGCCTCACTAGGGCCTTTAGGGTTTTGGTTCTAGCTTGGTGATACTTGGTTTGTTTTTGAGGCAGGGTCTTGCCCTGTTGTTCAGGCTGGCTCTGAACTCATAGACCCTCCCGGCTCAGCCTCCGAGTACTAGGGTTACAGGCACGCCCCTCCATACCTGGCTTGCCTTCTTTCTTCAGATAGTTGCTTTTGGGCTGGCCGGATGCTCAGTGGACTGAAACACCTGCTTAGGCAGAGCACAAGGGCCAGGGGTCAATCCCTAGCATGCTGTGCTGGCCCTGCCCCCTGGGGCACCCTGAGACAGCGATTAAGACTGGGTGTGGTGGTGTGCACCTGTAATCCCAGCGCTTGGGAGGCTGAGAACAGGAGAATCACTACGAGTCTGATCTACATAGTGGAACCCTATAGACCCTGTACTAAGTACATTTAAAAAAAAAAAATAGAGGGAGATGGCTCAGTAGAATAAGCGCTTCCCTGGTAAGCACAAAGACCTGAGTTCAGTCCCCAGTTCTGCAAAAAAAAAAAGTTGCTTTGAATTTTCATAGACTTTGTACTTGGGCTGATAAAACCTCCAGGCACGAAATTACAGAATGTAGCATGAGGGGTGCAGACAAGCCAGGCACAGGACAGCATCAGCCCGGTGGCACTGGCTCGGAGCCACACTCTTGATACATGTGAAGTCTGGTGGGACATTTCTGTGGCAGTGGACAGTGGTGAGGGAAGAGGTGATAGGAGGACACATGGTTCAGCTCTGTGCATGCGTTAAAGTACCTGTGGGGGCCTTAAGATATGTAACTGAGAAAGTAACAGATGGGTACACAGCAAAGCTCCTGGGTGAGGTGGCCTCAGCTGGTCCCTCCTGGAAGAGTGTGGCAAGCCTGTCCCAACACATGGGGCTCCAGGGCAGCATGCATGGAAGAGCAGCTCTCCATGGAGGTCACAGCAGTGGATACAAGTGTGAGGCCCTGGGCCAGAGCAGGTCTGCTCAGCCCGAGAGGTCTGGGGACCAGAATAGCCCATGAGATGGGTAGGCGAGGTGACGAACCTTCACCGGAATGCCCCAGGCAGTCTGTGTGTCTGAGACGTCACAGTCATTCAGTAGGGCAAGCAGGCAGGTGCCCCAGTCACCAGGAGACCACCCCCAAAAGGCTTAGAGTGTGAAGGCCAGTGGCACTGGAGGTTCTCGGGGCCCCTGAGGGGCAGCCGGGTGCGTGGCCTGGAAACTCCACACCAGGGTCCCTGTGCACAGCACTGCTCACTGCAGAGCAGCCGAGGACCTCGCTGTGCCTGCGTGGAGGACGCTCAGGGAGTGCTCTGCCAACACACCTGCCACCCGCCACACGCAGGGCTCTCTGTGTTTAAATAGTGGTGTGGGTTTATGTTGGACACGGAAACCCAGCCTTGACTTACTGTCAAGTAGCAACGCAGGGCACAGAAGAACATGTAGTGCGTGGCCTTAATGACAATACTTGTGGTAGCTGTTGAGCATACTCTTGTGTCCGTGGAATGTTTGTGTGAAGCTCCCAGCTCCACATGGGGTAGGTATTGGTTGTATTATGGCCTCTCAAAACTGCAGCTTAGGGGAATGTCTGTACCGTGCCTGCAGTCATAGGGCAAGTAAGGACCAGACGAGATCTGAAGCCAGCCCTGGCCTTGACTTCAGGCAGAGAGTGCGTTCTGTCCGCTCTGGGCTGAGCAGCCTTCCGTCTGAGCCTACTGTAGCTGGCAGAAGTTAAAGCGGCTTGGATGTATTCTTCCAGGCCAGCTGGGGTCTCGCCTCAGAGCAAGCTGAAAGGAGCTGCTGCCAGTGCGTTGACTGCTGGGGCTCCGCAGACCTGCAGTCAGGGCGCTGATGGGGTCAGGCTGCAGCTGGTGACCTTCCCGTGGAAGCCGCTTCGTAGACTGCTTTGTGTGTGCGTCTGTGTGCTTTCAGTTAGTAAAACCAAGCATGTTGGTAGAAAATTAAAAAGTTATAGAGAAGAATCCTCAAAGGGTAAATTTTGAGTAAAGGAAAATTACATTGGGCTACTGAGAAATCTGAAAAACTAATGTTCAGAGAAAGGAGCAAAGATAACCAAGCCGTAGAAGAGCAGGCCTTCAACGAAAGTACCGAAACCGGCGCTCGGGGCTGCACTGGCCCTGACACAGGTTCAGTGCAGGGGCCCTTTGGAAGTGAGTGCCAGTTTGCACGGAGGCCTAGAAGGGGCAAAAAGGGACTAAGGTGCCAATCAGCAGAGCTTGCACAAGAGTTTCACAGCGACAGAAATGAGCACGCTGAGCAGGCACCACAGAGAGGTTGTGGAACGGTCACTGTGGGAATGTTTAGGACAGCTCTGCAGCCTGCGCCATTGCCATCTCTGAGAGGCAGCCCATGGCCCGCAGTGGGGTGGAGTGTGAGCAGGAGAGCATCCTGCCCACCAGCACCCTTGGTTCGTATGTTCCAGGCCATCGTGAAGGAGCAGCCCCCATCAGAGACAGAGGAGAGGAACAGAATCGCCGCCGCCATCTTTTACTCCATCAGCCTCACACAGCAGGGCCTGCAGGGCGTTGAGCTGGGAACTTTCCTCATAAAGCGTGTTCTCAAGGAGCTGCAGGTGAGTACAGTGTCGTGGGTACAGCGGCCCAGGCCCATGGCTGCGCTTGCAAATGCTTGGTCCCGCTGCTGCACCCCGCCGTCTAGCTTCGTGATAGGTGAGGGGTCCTGCCCGCTCCTTGGGCACAGACACTGCTGAGAGGCTCCCCAGAGCCCAGCTTGTCACCGACCACAAGTGCAGCTCTAGCTGAGAACATGAGCCCTTGAGGTGACCTTGCCATGGCTGGTCACCAGGCGCTCCTAACTACTTACGTTGTCCCTGCGGCCCCATTCATTCCTCTTGGTCTGGGCTGAGCGCCCCACAGCCATGCCTGGCCCGCCCGTGCTGCACAGTGCCTCTGTCCATCAGCAGGGCTTTCCCATGGCCTGGTTAGACCACCTAGGCTCTGCGGCTTGCTGCGGACCCCACCCTTTCCTGCTGCCTCTGAAGGATACCTCCTGTGCTCCAGAACAGCAGTGCGCTGGGCCTAGATTAAAGCTGCCCCATGGGGCCCTTGGGAGAGCTCCTGTGAATAGGTGAGCCCAGGCTGAGTGGCCAGCTCTCTGCCCACTGTACCTCATCAGCATGGTGCTGGACGGGACCGCAGGGGAGCCCGTGGTACTGTGCTCTTCTTGCAGTTGTAATCAGTGTTAACCAAGAATTCGGCCGTTCGCTGCTTGCCCCCAGACTCGGTAACAGGCCACATCTGATTAGTACACTCCTTCCTAGTCCTGCTCTGTGCTCGTGCTGTCGGGGTCTGGGGGTGTGAGGGTAAGAAAGGCAGTGAAGAGGGTAAGTGGGACCCTGGATTCTGAGTGACCCCCACTGACCCAGGAGCCACCCGCAGGGCCCTCCCCTGCCCTCCACTGTGAGCCGAAGTCCTGAGGACCTTGGAGCATGAGAGGGTTTGCTGGGGTTGATAAAGGTCAAAAGCAAGCCGCCTCAAACGTCCAGCAAGAGGGTTGTGGTTGGGGGAGCCATGGTAGAGTTTTACGTTTGAAAATGACTCTCTCATTAAAATTGTGGGTTTGGATTGTAAACAATACTTAGCAAGTGCTCCTGGTCCAGACCCAGGCTGCAGGCTGCAGGACAGGTGCCCAGCTCTGTGTCCGCGTAGAGTCCCAGGGGCATTACACTTACAGACTCCGGACTGCAGGTTTGTCACAATGGTGCAGTATGGTTGTTTCCTTTTCTTCTTTGATATTTTTTAAAAAAAAAAAAACCTATAATGAGCATATACTACATTTATAATCATAAAATTCAGGACTTGGGGCTGGGGAGTTAGATCAGTGGTCCAAGTGCCTGCCTGTCAAGCACAAAGACCTGGGTTCGATCCCTGGCACCTCACACTATGCCAGCCCTTGAACCCTGGGTATGCCATGCTTACCACTGAAACTGGGTGTGGTGGTACATACCTGTAATCCCAGCATTGGGGAGGCTGAGACAGAAGGATCAATATGAGTTCGAGCTACGTAGCAAGACCCTGTACCAAATACATACATACATACGTACGTGCATACCTACATTTAAAATTTTTTAAAAAATATTTGGGACTTTTGAAAACAATCAAGATCTCTATACAATTTGAATAAGAAAGGATGAACCGAACCGTGTGCTTTGGTGACAGCCTTGCCTGCCCCTGCTGCCTGCCCTAGTACCTTTGAAGTTGTAGCTGGGCACCGCTTTGCCACTCACAGGTTCCTGGGCACATGAGTGCCAATTATCAGCCTAGACTCTGGCCTGCAAAGGCCTCATGGAGGGCATGGTGCAGTGGGAAGATGAGGCCTGTGGTCAGAAATGACCACGGTACAGGGACAATGCTCTAATTGACCACAGGCAGCTCCTGACCTCTGTTTCACCACTGTGACAGTGGGTACGATGGAAACAGCACCCCAAAGGCTCACCTTGGGGACTCGGGGTGCCTCTAGGCCCTGCCGCTCACCAGGGTCCTCATTCAGTGTGCCTTGAGAGAAGAAATGTATAGCAGTCCGTGTCACATGTCACTCTGTCAACTGCAGAGCTGTGACACTAGGCTGAGTTGAGAGGTATCCTGTGTAGGTTTGAGTCTGCTGAATCTGTGTTTTCTCCGCCTCCCTCTCTCCATCCACCTGCTGTGCAGAAAGAGTTTCCATACCTGGGGGCCTTTTCAAGTCTGTCACCCATACCCGGATTCACCAAGTGGCTCCTGGGGCTTCTGGGCTCACAGACAAAGGAGCATGGGCGGAACGAACTGTTCACAGAGTCAGAATGTAAAGAGATCACCGAGGTCATTGGTGGCCCCGTCCATGAGACCCTCAAGGTCCTCCTTGGCAGCAGCGAGTGGGCACAGTCAGAGAAGCTGGTACAGGTGCTCCGGGCACCCCTAATGCGGCTCTGTGCCTGGTATCTGTACGGCGAGAAGCACCGTGGCTACGCCCTCAACCCCGTGGCCAACTTCCACCTACAGAATGGGGCTGTGATGTGGCGTGTCAACTGGATGGGCGACAGCAGCCCCAGGGGCCTCACCAGCTCCTGTGGCCTCATGGTCAACTACCGCTACTACCCAGAAGAGACGGGCCCCAACAGCACGGCCTACCTGAGCTCCAAGAGCATCAAAGCTTCTGAGCAGGTCCTCAGCCTGGTGGCCCAGTTCCAGAAGAACAGCAAGCTCTAGGCACAGCCCTCCTGCAGCCCAGCCCAGCCCAGAAGGGTCACCTCTGGGAAGGCGAGAGCCGCAGCGGCACGTGTCACCTGCTGCAGCGGGGCAGTCTGCGAGGCCAGGACACAGCTGTTGCTCTGTGGCAAGGACGTGCCACTCAAAGGAGGTGGTGGGTGCTGGTGCCCACACCCCGGGGTCACTATGTGCCCCCTGAAGTGCAGGAGCCCTGAAGCCTCTGTGCCTTGGCACCTGGGGGTGACTGTGGGCCTAGAGCAAGGGCAGGCGGCCCAGGAAACACATCGGCCCTCGAGCTGGTGGCACAGGCCTCGGCCGTAGCTGTCCCGGGGAGATTGGGAGCGGCCAGCTCTACCCAGGCACCTGCCTTGGCAGAGCCTGTAGGTTGTCACTGGCCGTGGGGCCTTGCTGCTGGGAACCTGCATTGAGTTCTAGGCTTTAAAATGACAGTGATTCAAGTTCATAATGAACTGAGCAGTAAAGAACAAGTTTGTTCTGTGAAGCATTAAATGCAATTACTTAATTGTGGCTGTCCTTACAATTAAAATCTGGAGGAACAAGGCTTGGAGGTGCTGCGGAGCCTTGTGGCATGTGTGGCTCTTGAAGGGGGCACCAGATGATACACAGAGCAAACGTGCAGGAGGGCTGGTGGGTATGGCGCATGTCCTCGCGTGTGTGCGCCTGCCAGGCTGCAGTCCCCCGCTGTCCAGACCCGCGCCGGCTACCTCGCGTGCTCCGTGCTGTGACTCGATGGCCCATGTTCGTGCCCTGGTGCTCACCTGAGTGCTGGCTCTGCCTTCCCACCGGGCAGCTGGCTCAGCTCAGGACCCAGTCCAGCCACGCCTGGCGCCCAGCGCTCTCTGCTCATCTGCCAGCCCCCAGGCTGCTGCGTCCCAGGTGTTCCCAGGCCCGCCTTCCAGTGGCCTCAGTTCAAGGCAAAGTCCACAGCCTTGCTGTGGCTCCCCATGCTCCAGAGCCTGCCTCTGTTCCTGTCTCTGCTTCACACAGGTGCAAGCCGCCTCTAGCCCATCCACAAGGCTCAGCCTTGCGCCCTGCAGAGACTCAGATCCAAGGGGTGCAGGTGAACATGGGGGTACGCAGGCTGTACCTCGTTCGCAGGCATTGGCTTCAGCCAGTGCCCAGTTCGAATCTCAGCCTTGCCACTTTCCACCTTGGCTTTGCCTGCTTCCTCTCCTTTAGCTGGGGATACCATGGGACACAAGGGCAGCATTTCCAGACAGCTGGCAAGCGAAGCTGTGCTGCTAATCACTATCCATTCCTGCACGTGTACTCGGGTCCTCGGGCTCCTGAATGAAGGCTCTTAGATCTGCCATCCCTTATGTGGTCATTGGACTGGTTAGGGTTCTCAGGCCTCTATTGGCAGTGACTAACTCATTCCCGGTCTCCTCTGGCCACGGCATGGCAGGGGGGCTTGAGGGAGCCCCCCAAGCCCTCATAGCTAAGCAGTCCACTCTGTGGGGGGAGGGGAGGCCTAGGCCAGGCAGCAGCCTGCTGTCCAGCTGCCTCCTCCCAAGCCCTCATCTGCTTAGCAGGGGTCGCTCCCATGCCCTCTGTCTGTCAGCCTCTGTGTCTCTCTTCCTCTCTTCTCTCTTTGAGGGTTTTGCTCAACAAAATTGATAGCACTGCCCTCAGTCTTGAGAACTCCACACTCCTAGAAGGAGGGACTTCCTTCTTGTTTCATCTGTTCTTAAAGGAAAAGGGTTGGAACCACTCAACATTTTTGCAAGCATTAGCTTGTTCTAAGCTTCATTTGCAATTAAGGGTAAGATATTCTTAGGATTTAAATTGAACAGATATCTTCTGATTTATAATGGGATTTTGAGACATACACTGGAATCTGCAGCCATTGAGAAGCACAGACTGTGTGGGAATTTCTGTTCGCCACAGAAAGTTGCAGCCCTATTTTCAGTGTAGTAAAATGGACAGAGGTGCCCAAGGGCTTCCTCGCCTTGGCTTTTTGTCGTTTGCATTCCCCACCTCATGATCTCATCCAGGAGGAAGGGAGGTGCTGTGCTCCTTCACGCTGGGGGGGGGGGCTCCCGCAGGTGCCCTCCAGGCACATGCCCAAGGCTTCCCCTCTTTTCCAAGAGGCACTGTGGTCTCATTTTTGGCCAGCCTGAAGGGGAGCGGCAATAGCCAGGCCCAGAGAGAAGCCCCATAGAGCTGACCTGCAGCCACTCACCTTAGCAAGAACAGCGGGAATGGGGCCCAAAGGACAGCCATAACCAGGGTTGGAGCTTTAGGGCACTGCCACTGTGGCCTCAGCAGGATCTTCCCAAGGTGTCACACCTTCTCTTAAGTCCTGAGCAGACACAGTGCTTGCAGTTGTGGTCAGCATCGTCAGTTGCCAGAGGTGGACTCAGCTCCAGCTGCTTCAGAGCAAACAGGAAACGGGCACAGAGAGTCCAGGGAGGGCGGAGCATCCAGGCGTGAAGCCCAAGCCCAGACACGGCTGAACACAGGCAGTGCAGGAGCTGGGCCTTGGCTCGGCCCTGCCTAAAGGAAGCTCTGCCTTCGGGGCTGCCCTGCCCCCTGCCCCAGGCTCTCTCTTGCTGGGGTGGGTACAGGGGGCGGCCGGGTCTATAGACACAGAATGGGCTCTGTGATGGGCGCACCCAGGGCCAGTATCGGAGCAGCGATGGGAGACTGCTGTCCATGTGAGGGAGGCTGAGGCGGCCCCTAGGAGGGCGGGCTACAGAGAGTTTGGTTTGGGCCCTGGAGCATCCATGACAGAAGCTGACCCCCCACCTTGTTCATGTGCATCACTGTGGGTCTCTGTGGCACCGGCATGGGACAGGACTTGGCATGACTTGTCCCTTCCTGTTAACTGTGTGGGGACCTGGAGAGACCCAAGGGCGGCCTCCAAGTGGCCAGGGCTCTTTCTGCATGAAAGGGACCGGGCCTGGGGAGTGGCCCCAGGAAGGCCAGGCCACCCGCACACCATCCATCTCCCCGCCTGGGGAGGTGGCTCATGATGCCACCTCTTCTTGCCAGCTCCTGCCAGGGCCCTGGTGACCTGGGCAACTGCCCCAGCCCACTACCCTCTCAGAATGTGGGCCACTGCCCTTTTCTGTGCTCTGGGCACCTCCACTGAGGAGCCCTGTGCTCTCCGGGCATATTGTGGAAGGCTGCCCTTCAGGGCTTGTCCAGGATTCCCTTCCCTCCCTGGGAAGCCCTCGGCCTCCCAGACATCATTGGCTACCTGTGTGCTGGCATGGAGGCTCCCAGCGGGCCAGGCATAACTGCGTACAGAGCCCTGTCCCCTCGGGCATCCTGGCTTGCTGTGTCTCGGCTGTGCTAGGGCCATCCCAGCTGCCATTTGTTCATTGTGCTGGGAGTCACCTGACTTGCTTAGACCTCACTGCCCCCCTGCCCAGCTCGAGGGGCAGTGGGCGGCTGCTTAGCGCTATCACTCCTGGCATGAGTAGCTCAGTGCCTGTTCCCCCGCTGGGACAGTGGATCTCTCGGGCCCAGTCAGCTGTCATCCTGGGCAATGTCTGCCCTCTTGCCACTAGAGGGCACTGCTCGGAGCCCCACCCCTCCAGGAGCCCTGGCCCTAGGGATGAGTGTTTTGGTTTGGTTGCATGTATTTGCTTTTGGTGGTGCTAAGAGGGAACCCAGGGCCTTATGCACACTAGGCAAGTGCTGCACCACCCAGAGCTACATCCCTAGCCCCAGTGCTGTGTTCCTAACAGGTGAGGCCTCTGCCCAGACCTTACGTCCACGCAGAGCGGCACAGCCCGCTCGTTCTCTCTCTGGGCTGGTAGCAGATCTCAGCTGCTGGAGCCCAGGGCCGACTGAGCAAGCCAGCTTTCTCTGCTTTCCAGAATTCAGCCCACCTTCCTGTCCCAGCCAGAGCCCAAGCTCGGTTCTGCCTTTCCAGTTCGTCTCCTGGGGGCAGAAGTGTGGACATCCTGAGTGGCCTAGAGGATCCCAGGCCCTTCATGGGCCTTGACTCTGGCCGACCCACAGCACCCTGCCACTGGTTCAGGCTGAAGCCCAGATCACAACTCAAATCCTGACCAATTCAGGAGCCATGGCTACCGTGTGTGTGTGTGTGTGTGTGTGTGTCCGCGGGCACGGCAAGTGCTGTACTACTTAACTATATTTCACCCCTTTTTTAAACATTTATTTTGCGATATGGTCTCACTAAGTTGCCAGGCTTGCCTCGTACACGTCTACCGCAGCCTCCCAGGCAGTTAGGACTCCGGGAACATGCCGCTGCTCCCAGTCATTGTTTTGATTTTTATATATATATTATGAATAAAATAGGAACTCAGTATTTGTCACTGAATGGAATTTAGGAGTAAAAAAATATATTGTAAAAAAAAATGAATAAATTTTAGTTAGGTATTACTGCTTTCTCTAAAAAAAAAAAGGCAGAGGAAAAGGCAGAGATTAATGAGTGTCAGGAGGTGTTGAAAGTACACTCCGCCATGCGGGCGCCAGTCAAGCCCCAGAGAGCACCCTCGTCTCCTGCTTTCTGCCCTCAAACTCAAGGCCCTCCTGAGGGTTGGTCGGTGGGTCCTGCAGCTCAGGGTTGGGGAATGGGAGCGATGGCAGAGGCGGAAGGGACAGAGGTGCTGAAGCCTTGCACTGTGGGAAGCCGAAGGAGTGCAGGGACCTGCCGAGTGGCCTGTGAGTAACTGCCTGCACTCGCTCACCCAGCCAGCTGACCCACACAGCCCCACACAGAAGAACATGGAGCCAAGCGTGGTGATGCACACCTGTAATCTCAGCACTCAGGAGGCTGAGGCAGCAGGATCGCCAAGCGCTTACGGCCAGCCTGGGGTACAGCTTGACTTACCTAGCAAAAGCCTGTCTAAAAAAACAACCTCCCAGCCTCTCCCAGCATTCCCAGCCCAGTATTACAGAGGAGGAGGGCGGCTAGGATTCATTTTCCTGGAACCCACTTCACTCCACTGGGACCCGTGAGCTGCAAGGCTGTTTCTGAATTTGCAGCAAGTGAGCGTTTCAATTTTAACATATAAAGTAAACCAGTGAAATAATCCGTTCTCACTTAAAATTTTTCGTATTTGCATTCCAGGTGAGGTTCTTGTTGAGTCCCAGGTTTTGTGCCTGCTTAGTAGCAAGTGTGGCCTCTGGGTGGCTGTGCGGGGACCTCCCGGCCCCGTGCAGTCTCACTGCTGCACTAGTGGGGAGTCACGCTTCCAGACTGCCTGGGCTCGAGGCTGAGCTGTTTGTCCTCTCGCAGGGCCCTTAGCGTCCCTGGGGGTGTCGCCCTCCGCTCCTGTGTCTGACCCCACTCCCCCTCCTGTCATCGGGCTGGTCTGAGGGGATGTTTAAGCCACCCTTCTGGAGCAGACTCACTGCTGTCTGGCGAGAAATCTCAGAGCGCATCAGTAAGAAGCACGGGAAGGGTGTGCTAGAGCTTTAGGGTGTGCTCAAGGGCAGGGCACCTCACAGTGTGCAACTGGAACATTTATACTTCTCTTGTGGGGCAGAAAAGCTGGGAGAGAGGTGCCCCCGAAGGCCACGAGC